ACATAATTTACGTTAATGATTTAGCCATTAGGAAAGGATTTAACATTTACGTTACGTATCACCTAATTAAATTTTCGTTTAATTAGTGAAATAATTAGATGTAATTAAACGTATATACTACACGGAAGTATCAAATGTACGTATCAAAATATACACGACCATATAATCAGGAATCGCGCTATGCTGAGCTCTGTGTCGAATGACTTTGTAATTTATGAAAGTCTGAACTTTCGCGAGTTAGAGATATCTACTATTTGATAATGGCAGAAGTACATTTTCAAACGACGTAACCATGGCATTTTTTCAAACAAACTTCCTTTTTTTAGATTCTTTCATATCCTATTTTATACGTTTCTACAATACAAACGTATAACCTGACAATTCATGATTCATATCATTCATCTCCATCAATCTTCGTGGATCGAATATTCCAGAAATTTTCGTCACGATACTGCCACGTCCAATATCGCACGATGTCGGTATTATTGGAGAAAATAGATAAACGAAAATAACAAATAATATATCTTCATACTTCGACAAGTAAAATGCCTTCGATTGTCTATCGAATTCTAGCATCTCTTATTTCTTTGAGCTTCGGCGCTTGGGCAAGTTTCAAAAGGCATTGCAAAACGCTCAATTCGACATGACATGAACGACCTCTTTATCTCCGTAAAGCGGCATGAAAACGGGCCCTAACGGGAGTATTTAGTCGCGAAACGAAGTGCCTGTCCACACGCGAGCGCATGACGTGGACGGATGTCGGGCTGAATTGGCGCAATGACCATAACCGGGGCCCAACACAACGAGTATGCGATCTTTTTTTCTCCGCTCGTATCAAGACAACGGATTTTATAAAACTTTATTAGAGAAATTTATGAAGAAAAAACGGCTTTCTTCGCTAACTTATAGCAGCTAATATAAAGTAAATCTCAAGTAAATAAATATATGTACGTGCTTAGAAAACAACCGATTTTCTATGATGTATTACGGTATTCAAATAGGTGAAAGAAATTTCTAAAACCTGTTCTTGAAAGACTTCACATAATAAAAACTTATAAATAGAATTATATATGGTTCATTACACTCTATCCATGTCAGTTATAATAATTATCATTTTTTTTACATGAGTATTATATATATATATATATATCCAACTAAATATTTATTAAAATTGACTATATTTTTTTCTCAGTGTATATATTGTATATATATATATATATATATATATATATATTAGATGTGTGTGACTGACAGATTTTCTGTTCTGAAACGGTTCTTTATTACGCATTAATAATAACAAATAAAATAAACACAATTTTAAAAAATTCAAAGAAATAAATTTATTCTATATTCATAGAACTTTTTTTCAATTTCTAATAAAGAAAAATTTATCTGCGTAAATATATTAATATTTATTCTAAATATATAATTTGATATATAGGTTGATATAAAATGATTACATGCATTTCTCTCTAAAATTTGTTTTGATAATATATATAGATGCTGTATAATATATTCATAAATTACGTCCGCTTTTATGATTTCAATGTATTTTTGTATATATCTGTACTTTTTATGACTAAAAGAAGATTCGGATGCTGTATCTGGATAGCTTCAATATTACGTCTTTAATAATACCAGACACGGTTTATAGTATCTCTGGTTTGAATCCCGTTGTATATGGGCTGTGCCCAGATAATAAGGTCACATCAATCCACTCTACTGTGTGACCTTGCCTCCTTTCCACTACTATAGTATTGCCGGATTTTTCTAGTTCACTGATCAGCCTCAATTCGATGGTATTACTGCGGATTTGTCGGCATGGATGACTTAATTTCACGAATCTTTGAACGAAATCATATCGCAGAAAAATTGACAAGATATTTGTAATAAATTCTCCTGAGAAATATTTGTTAGTTATTTCTATAGCAGCTGTATCATCAATTGACGTATAATATTACATTAATTAATTAGCGTTAATTAACTAATATTTTCTACATTAAAAAAAAGAGTATGGTAATAGTAACAAAATATTGAGTAAAATAATTTTAATCTAATATTCGGTTAGTATAACTAAAAATAATTTCACTTTTCTGAATATTCCAAATATTCAGTATTATTATCAAACGATTGGTTATATTATTATGTCCGATAATACATATACTTACTAAGTACTTAGAAAAGTAAAATTATTTTTGGTTATATTATAACTGAACATTTGACTAAAAATATTTCAACATTTGGTAGATCTTTTTTAAATATAAATTTTCTAAGTTTATTTATTTAGACCTACACCCCTCTATATTATTTTCGACAGGAAAATTATTTGAATAGTAAAGTTCGGCAAACAAATGCGTCTTTTAAATACAACCAGAAATATATATCACAATCTCTATACAAAAATATTCATTGTGCTGCAAATGACAATGGGTTAAATGTTAAATATCTCCCAGCGGAGTGCAGTTTTCGCGCAACTTTCGCGCGAGTAATAAATCGCTTCAACGTTAACGGAAATATGGCCGACAAGGAGAACCGGGAAATTTATATGACGGTCCAGTTAATCCTCTCTTTGTGAATAAACTTATCGTTTCCTCGGAGACTACGGTAAGTTTTACGTAACCGTGAAAAAGTAGCGGCGCAGCCGCATTATAACAAAGAGTGTTAATAATATGGACAAGGAATTGCGCGTGTTTCTCATTCGCATTCTTCCTCGTGCGTTCGCTTCTTTTCTTACTCATCGCTCGCAACACATACGTGCGTCGCAATGCTGATCTTTTCTTTCTCGCGTGAATTCGCACACGTGTACACACACAATCACGTGCGTAGAAAGTATTGAGATACTAATCACGTTCTATGCGAAGGACAAATTCATGACAAAGCGCATTTTTGCGATCGCTTTTCTTTGGATCGCACTTAGAAAATAATTATGTGAGACAATGAAAATTAGATTTACAGAATATATTGAGAAAAATAAAAAGGGTATAATGCCGGTTTCAATCACTAAAAGCTTTCAATAAAAGAGCGACTATTTATGTCGTGAATTATTCACCCTAATTATCTATGTTGCATAAATTTACAATAAATTATATTATTCATAATAAATTGTGATGAAGTTGAGTAAATTATAATTTAAATTGTCCAAATTAAATGCAATATTCATGGAAATTTCGCACGAATGATGGTTATTTTAAAATAGAACGTCATGTATATAAAGTCGGAAGAAAATGACTTAGGCTCGTTTTCACAATTATATAATTACCTAAAGATTAAAGATTACCAACAGATTCATCAATGAAATTCATTCATGAATTTTTTGGTTTCCTTTAATTTTTAAGTAATCATGTAAAATCGAGTTTTAGCATATGTATTTCTTTTAAGTAAACTATATGCTGAGACTGAAAGTAAATAAAACATTTTCTTTTGTGCACTATACATATAAGTGAGAAAACTTAAACATCAACAATTGTCTACATTGTGCAACTGTCATTCTTTGTGAGACGCTGTTTATCGTAACAATACTATACGCAATTTTTATTGTGAGATAAAAGTTAAAAAATTTTAACAATTCTATTAAAAATTCTATTATTCATACATTCAATATTTTCTTATAACTTTCTATTCCTATTTATTTAATACGTAATACGTATCCATAAAAGATTGTAGTTAAAAAGATCAAAGCAACAATAAAATTATAAGATACGATATCAAAGAGTGAAAGAGCTAGGATATACTCTCTAAATTCTTTGAAGTGGAATTTTACTCTAAAGAGTGAAAATTCAACTGGTCTTGAAAGAGCAGCTCAATTTTCAGTCTTTAAGAGTAAGATTTCACTCTTCAAAGTGATATTCGCTCCAAAGTTTTAGAGAGTAAGTTTTGATATCAATGCAATCAATCGAAAGCAGATTTCAATTTTGATTCGAAATTTGATTCGGATCAGGGATGTAAGATTCTTTGAATCATAGATCGCTAATTTGTTACTCCAGAGTAGCCCAAAATTCGTCAAATACCACTTCCTAGTAGGAAAAGAACGAAACAAAAGAGATTCTTTAATACTTTAGATTTTTTAATACTTACTAGATTGCTACTTGCCTTTAGTTTTCTTTCATTAGAGAAACTAAAATGTATAAACTAATTAGAGTATGACTAATCTCAGTCTAGTATTTTTGTTATCGAAAGACAGAAATAACAAATATTTATTGTTTTTTATTTTGAATAAAATATAGACTTTCACTTAAATAAAATATAATGTAACCGCGTGTATTATATTATTAGATTATACATTATAATATATAAAAGTATATAGATATCACACTTCTTGTTCAAATTACATTTTAAAAGAACAAAAACTATAAAATTTATAATTGAAAAATAATAATTATATTTTAGTTTTAAACAAACATAAAAAATCATTCCATGCAAGAAATGAAATCAATCTTAGCTTTAGCATGAAATCTTCATGCGTGTACAGGTTTCAATCTTTACAATCATCAATCACAAAACATTTAAAGCTTCCTCAAAATCCATATGGCAGCCATTTATAATACAACAGTCAGTTTTATGATCGGCCATTGCGATGGCTAATCAGGACTTGTAACACCAGTTGCGGTTCACTTATAATATAGGACCAGTATTCATAGTCCATTCAAGACTGCATCCTATTCAAGACCGTCTTAAGTAATGTCTTAAGATGCTAATACAGCTGTCTGATTGGTTCATGACATCTTAAGATTGTTGTTTAAGAGTCTTAAATGTAGAATCGGCTATGAATGCCGGCCTAAGACTAATCATAATATACGTTCAATTGGAACGAGCTCAATTTTCATGTAGCTAAAAGCCGAGATAGCGACTGGTCGCGAAGAAGTCATTTTTCATCGCAAAGTTGAGTAGCCCAAATTGCAAAAAGTACAGCCTAGTCTGATAGATAAATCTCTATCGGATCGAGATTCGCATCAGGAATCGAAACGGCACGGAAACGTCTTCATGAATGTGAGCATACATACCGAGCGGAATTCTCACTGGACAATTGCGATTTCTCGGTGTGGAACGCCGTGCCAAATGTCATGACAGAGCAAGTGGGCGGCGGGCGTTGCTGTGGATGCTTGTCCCGAGAATTATCCTTATCAGCGGTGCGGCCGCCGAACAACTCGACTAGTCAGCTGATCGCGCGATGCTTCATCGCTTCGGTCAGTGTGCGCATAGCAGTGGCAGGAATTTTCCCGTGTATCGCCTGACTATACCCTCCTCCCACGCGATAATCGGCACTTTTTCACTACGTTAAAATTTATCGGATATCCCAGAGGGACAACTGAAATCACCCGCTTCTTCCTGCTGTCAACGATATACACTCAGCTTATCGCTGTCCTCTTTACGACAGCCCGAGATCTGTCGGTATCTTCGAATAATTTAATATCACTTCACGAACAGTCGTATTTTTGATAGTTGGATGTGTTTAGGATCCTCCTAAATTCCTGATGCGCGACTTCTTATCAAAAGTAAATACAAGCTCGGAAAGTGTCCTCGTTCGACTCGGGGAACGGAATTGGGTATCCGGTTCGTACTGGTCGGTGTGGAGCCTCTCCTCGCGCACGTACACGAAAGGCGGAGGCCTCGTCCGATCGGTGTGTCGTGGTGGTAACGGTATATCGCGAGGAGGCGTTTGTAGATTTACCGGAGCGAGCAGGCGAAGTGCAACGACCGGCTGATCGCGTCCGTCGTCGAGACTTGTCTCGTTTCGTATTGAATACGACTCTATGAGGACACGTGATAACGATGCGTTGTCTCGCGTTGGATATCAAATATACGTCTCGATTCCCCTCGAATTTCAACCGTTTAATCTTGACCCTTGTTTCGCTACCGCTCCAGTTACTCGGAGTTTCAGAGAACTCGGCGCTTATTTATTTTTCGTCTCTGGATATGCGTTTCCTGCACGCCGTCTCGACTCGCTCCAAAATTAAGCTAGTTAATCTCGCTATCTTAAGCTGCTTAAGCGTGTTATCTTATTCAGCTAGTGATCGTCGCTTGAACTCTCTATCTGTAGAACTAATCCGCACTGCCAATTTGTCTCGTCTCGAGCTGGATATCACAGATTGGCCGTTATCCGTCTTGATTCGTTTCGAAGATTAAACGTCTTAATCTAGCTACTTATCTTGATATCACTTCAATCTTATTCTTGCAGTTACGAATTTGTGCCTTGACCGTTTGATCCCTCTTGTACTAAATTCTCATCACTATTAGAAGACGATCTCGACGTCTTATCTAATCCAAATCTCTTAATTACGATAATGAAATTTGCTTTAGATTATAGCCGTGTTATTTAGACTCTCGAGTCAGAAAACACAGACTCGAATTTCGAGCAGGATTACCGGAGCACAATCGGAGTACAGTCGCTTCCTCGATTTTATCTCAGGCTCTTCAATCTCAATGTATCTTCTTCAGAATGAGATAATCATTTGGATTTCTCACAATGAGCGCAACTCGATTGCCGTGAGATGTCCGTTGGGATCGTGGCACAGTTCCTCTATTCACGTAGTTCGGAACACGTATCCTGGTTCCGTGTAATGTTAAGTATCCTGACGGATACTATCCTGACGGATACTACTCGGACCGCGCGGCGCGGCGTCCGCACGCTGGCGACATTCGCCGATGATGACGGGCGTCGCGAGAGCGTCGAACGCGGAGCGTTGGGTCACGTCGGGAACAGCCAGAATGGACAACGTCGGGCTTTCCACCTGCCGCCGCCGCGGGTCCTCGCTCACGGACGCTCTCGGAGTAACGATCGCATGCGAACGAGAGGAGGAAAAGGGAGAGAAGGAGATCGGGCGAGAGCGGGATCGACCGACCGCAGCCGAAGTGCAGCGAAGAAGGTCTGGATGGACTGTATACACCGGGTACTACTAGCTCGCGTCGCGCCTGGCAGCCGACTGACTCCGGCGAAAGAGGATGAAGCCGGGCGACGTGGCTCTGACGCCGCCGCAGGGCTTCGCCGCCTCCATCCCGCCACCGCCATGCCACCGCCGCCGCCATCGCCACCCCTGCGATCGTAGCACCAATGCGTTGTGTCGCAGTGCCGCGAACCGTATCGGTAATTCGTACCTTCAACCCTCGCCGTACCGTATTCAACCTCCCCGTACCGTTCTCAACCTCCGATGCGAGGAACACGTGTCAACAGGATAAACCGTCGAATGGACGGACGGCTCGTGCGAACCGAATAAAACGCGACGTCATGTACCCGGTATCTCGAGGACAGTCGATTTTAATCCCACTCGTCCTAAAATCATCTCTAGATATGATTATAGCGACACGTGCACTACCTCATTTCGCAATTTCATTTAACAATGACAATCCACTATTTGCGTCAAAAGCAAGGTGCAAAGTGCGAGTGCGTCTCTCTTGAAAACTTTTAGAGAAAATTTTATTCTAAAAAATTAAATCTCATTCTTAAAGATTGAAAACTGAGTCACTCTCTTTTTTAAAACTCAGTTTTCACTTTTTAAGAATGAGATTTCATTTCAAAGAATTTGCAAGAGTATTATATAAGATATAACGTAAAGATTAAAGTATATAAAATTTTATAAAATAGCAGATTATACGACTTAATAGTGTAATAATAAAAGAGAGTTGCCAAATGCATACCACTTGAGCAATTTTCTATTATATTTTCCATATAGTATTGATTTGTACGTAAATAATCATTGGAAATTGCAGCTTAATATATTTAGAGCTCACTGTTCTCATTGGAGGACAGTCACGTTTTAGTACGTTGAATCCTGCAGCGACTCGCTTATCTCATACTTCGGCACTAAAAAAAAATTTTGTTTAATAAATTGAGCGTTAATCGGTTAATATTTTGGAAATTTATTATTACATGTTTAGTTTTTCAACAATAACAAATTGATTTGTCATAAATTTTTTGTAACATACTATAATTAGTCACCTATAAACTGTACCTATAAATTTTCTGAATTGTATCTCTTATAAAGAAATACTAAATTTATAAATATATATATATATATAAAACCAATTAAAAATATAAGAATAATAAAAGAAATCATCAACTAATACTCTGAAAGAAAAGAGTGGCTGAACATGGCAGTGTACGTAATTACCTAATACTTAATTTTATTATAATTTATCAAAAAAAGATCAAATATTTAATAATTATTAAAATAACGAAAGAAGATCAAAATAAAACCGGCTTGCATTTATTTTTGTAATTAATATTTGTATTCAATAAATTATTAACTTCATTATTGTTAATTATCAGCCTTACCTTATAGTGGTACGATTTAGGAAACATGATTTTATAAAAGTATCGATTTAATCTTTATAATAATTATCGATTTAATCTTTATAATAATTGCAAATATGCATGTATATGCATACACACAATAAAGGTTTATTGTAAAATATTTTACAATAAACTTTTTTATGAAAATACAAAAATTCATAATAAAATTACATGATTACGTTATTATTAGCTACATAAATCAATTAAAAATTAATATCAAATGTATCTGACTTTTTAAAATGATGCTAACATCCATAAAACAAAACGTAACCTATTTACCGTATTAAATTTTTGTCTATATCACTTATTTCTCAATTATTTCATATTTTTGTTACTGAACGTTGCTTATATTAAGTAATAATTATTAATTAATTGCTTATATTAAGTAATAAAATATTGATAAGATACGATTTAGGCATGCAGTATGCATTCGACAATTCTCCCTTGCGTAACAAACCATTTAATTATGACCATTAAGCATATGAGGATATCCTCGATATCAATGCATATCAGGCAGTTTACGAGCGCTGACACATTAGTACGTGATCAAACTCTCTTTCCGTTCACTTAAACACGATGATGAGAACATGTTGAGTTTACGGATGCGACAACGACATCACCGGAATAAGCGAACACCTGTTTGCTCGTATAATAACGACACTGTCGGTAGCAAGCTTTCATACATGCATAGACGCGCTGATACATACCATGTCTGCGGTATTTGAATGAAAATAAGTAGCACCCGTGGGATGAAAAGTTGCATAAAATACGACGTAGTGGCAACTTCGTTCGTGTCAACGCCATTTCGCGATATTTGTTATTCCATCAGAGTTGGACACAACTCGCTTTGCGTCCGAGCTCATTGATTAACGATGAATGAGCATTGCTCGGCGCAATGCAACATAAAGAATTAATGTCTAAAGCGTTATCATTTTGACGTCAGCATTTTGACGTCAGTGAAATTGAATTACAAAGCTATACAACAATACACAGAAAAAATAAAATACCTAAAAATTTATATTTGAATTGTCAAAATAATTATGTGAGACTCTCAAGTATAAAGCAAAGCTGAACAAATTTTTAATAAACTAAACAACAAGCTTCAGTGTCTTATTTAATTATTTTTATAGTTCAATCAAATTATTTTTGGATTTGTATTTAGCTAAATTTGTAGATTCAGCAAAACCGTTGTTTCTGTATATAAGCCTAGTATTTTTTATTAGACTTAACTTATATACTTTAAAGTTAATCTCTCTTTAAATTGATAATAATATAAAAACAATGCTTTTTTTAGCTTAATAACGCTGATTAATGAGGACATCCTCATATTTGTAAATTGATGATTTTGTAGTGTGATAACTTTAAGGCTCGGGTTTTCATTATCTGGTTAACTTGTAGTTTAATTTTAATCTTATTTAACTTGTATTGATGATAATGTAAAAATTGTGTTTTTCTAGTTATATAATTAATCACTAAACTAATGATTTTGTACTAGTATCTTTAAAAGATATTTACTATAAAATCATCAGTTTAGTGATTAACTATAGATAGAAAAATATAATTTGTACATTATGATTAGGTTAAACCTAATCAGAAGTAAACCAGTATATAAATGAAAAACAGGATCTAAAAAGTTACTCACTACAAAATCACCAGTTTAGTGATTAATCATAGTTGAAAAAATATAATTTTTACATTATCAACAAGTAACCAGAAAAACCGAGCCACACAGATATGATATAAACTTTTAAAAATTTATGTTTCGTAATTTCTCTCATGTAATTTATGCTTTTATTTCTCGAAAAAATAAATATGCCACGTTAAAAGAAATTTAAGTTAATATTTCATAAAATTTATTGACCTTAATTTTCATCGAACGTCTCCCTGGAAGCTAAATGCTGACTCTCATATACCATGGCAAACTAGCGAAATATCTTTAAAAGCTTTTTAAAAGCGCTGTGAAGATTCGAGTAACGTTTAAAAAATGTAATTTTTTCCAACCGCTGCGTTCGGTATTATTTCAACTGAGTGAGATATTATCCATCGAAATATCGCTATCTCCACTATTTCTAATGGAAGCTCGCCGAAAATTTTCGGTGGATAACGGATATCGTGACTGCGCAAGATCGCGCGGGCCGAGATAAATCAGTGGTAGACGTGAATCTATGACGCAATGCTGCAGAATCCGTCGGGTGTCCGACGTCACACTATTATTTTCAACCTGCCGAAGCGCCTGACCTATCCTCCAAGATACACTGAGATATTTCCAAACGAGTGGATTACGGATCAATAAGGGACTGCGGACGATTTAAAAAAAGGCTCCGAGACGGTGGAGCTAAAAAAAGGCGAGGCAAAAAATTACAGGTAAATTGAGATGAAGGGTAATCGATCTGCCTACCTCATAACACGCGGGTGCATGAACTGTTATGTATACTAGGTCGCTCCACATCATAACTAAAGCACTTCTTCCGATGAATTAGATAATTAATGAATCATTTGCAGCGTATCATTAAACTCAGCGCGATAGAACTGAAAATACTGATTCGTGCAAAGAAATCGTTTAACATTTTATACATATGGATAGTAAACGGAGCGTAAATAGAAGATTGTTACGCGGCAAAGTTAATTCCGGATTTTCTCAAAGACCTAGAATTCGCTAAAGTCCTGTTACTCTCATATTTCTTTCTAGTTCCTTGCTTTCATGCGTTAAATCTGTTCGATATAATAAATTAAATATTTTGTCGCAAGTACTTCAATTTTATTTTAATAAATATCGCTCCTTTTTCTCATATTTCTACCAAAAGACGTTGTGCTTCATCTCACACTATCCGTAAAAATAGAAGATTATTATTGTGTTACTCTTTGCATATCAGCAACACAAGTGCAACGCTAATGACTAGTAGTTAGCAATTTATTGGATATGCATATGAACATTTCTCGAGTACTCGAAGTCCCGCGGTAGATTTGCGATAACAAGTACCGAGTTTCGCGTTTGCGTATACCTAGCATTACTATCCCTCGCCTTAATGTACGTTCGCCAACTTGCACGGCAGGACGAAGCCATTAATTACGTCAGAACGAGCCTGAGGTTGATGATACCAATAAACCGACTCAAGGCACGATATTATAGCGTTATATATATATATATACATACATATATATGTATTTTACGTAACACATT